CACTGGTCTTTTAACACGCGGGGTGTTTGCATGTGTGTGTTAATGTTGAAGTGTGTGTGTGTGTGTGTGTACCGACTCGTTCACTCGTATGGTGGCGGCGACCTCTGCCCACAGCCTCGCGTACTTGACGGGTGTGACGGGCTCCTGAGGGTCGCGGTCCACGTGCAGGTACAGCATGAGGCGGCAGAAGGACGCGCGGACCTCGTGGGATAACACCGGGTTGGACATGCATCTGGAGATCATGTTATAGTGGTTCATGATATCTGAGGCTTTAGAGAGTATTCATTTAAATGGTACTAATATTTTCGGATGTACTAAACGTATTTTATGTTATCTCGACGTTTCGGTAGAAATCCGAAAATATTAGTTATATTAGTTAGCATCGTGGACTATTAGCACATGGATCAATACGAGTGTGACTTTTTATTCTTCATTTTGTTATCTGAAATCTGAATAGGTACTAATTTTATTATTTTTTTCATTTGGACATAATGCGATAATTGATTTGAAAGATATTTCTACATTTTAGAGATACTTCGTAGTTTTCGCTATGCTTACGACGTTTATGACAAAAACTATATTTTGTTTGGGTAAATCAGCTCTTTATCAGAATCGTGAATCAATAAAATATCGTATCAAAGTACACTTTTCGAGTGATTAAAAAGTCGTTATTATTTAATAAAATGTATTGTTACTTTAAAGTACTGACAAAGGAAACTAAAAATTACTATCAATAATTCTAAACCATATGAACATACATATTTCTAAAGGAATGATTTAACTTACTCGAGTATAAGATCAATGTGATAGACTGTTCAATGCCAGGTACTGTCTGTTGAGACACATGTTCGAGAACAGGTCGAGTTGGTCTCGGTAGTAATCCAAAATCACTACGAGGATCTGAGGCTTGTTCAGCCAATGAGTTCAGTGACCGACACTCCTGAAACATGATATATTTAGGGAACAAACATTTAATTTGAACCAAAGCTTTAAATTCCCGAACGCACCCAAAGTGACCTTAAGCAATGACATTTGGTTTGTTCAATTTTACGCGGGAAAATATTTGTCTATGCAACTTGTGTATTTATATATTGAACTTAACTTATTGAAGGTGTCTTGGTTTAAGATAATAGTTTTTTTCTAATTAAGGTTATGTGATTTAGAAGTACTGGCTTCACAAAACAACTATAGTTTTTAATTATATTGTTAGAATCAAAAATATACAGGGTGACTGGTGAATTACTATCAATATTTAAGGAGCATACTCGGTACATGATTCTCATTCGAATTACGTAAAAAAATAGGTACTTAATTTTTGACCAAATTTCCGTATAAATAAATAAAGTGTAGACACGTTCCAAGTGTTCCAAGTGTGGACGCGTGCGGCGGCGTGTTGATACAACACCACGCCGCGCGCGCGTGTGTGTGTGTGTGTGTGTGTGTGTGTATACCTAATCTGTAGGGTGTTCACACGATGCGCAATTAATTACATAAATTTTGGTTAACTTTACTTAGAAGTTTATTAATATTTATGTCATATTAATTTTTATTTTGTCATATATGATCGTCAAATATCACGTCCTCAAGTATCGATAGTAATTCACCAGTCACCCTGTATATGTGGTTAAGTTTAACTAAATGGCAGCACTAAACCGTTTTAGTTTGATCCTAAAACAAATTATACCTATGCTTTTATATGATAATCCTTATTAAAAATAAAGTGTTTATCCAAATAATGAATTTGGATGAATCAATTAATAACGAACACAATACAAACTACATATATGCAGACAAAACCTCTTTAGAATTCAATGTATTCACCGTGCGGGTGCCAGGTCCATCGTTGTAGTGAGAGGAGCTTCAACAGTGTCTGTGACTTGCGACTCAGATGTAGGTTTAAAGGGTCCCTATCTAACGCGCGTTAAACGCTCACCTCCACTGTCCAAGCTCCTCTCTCTACCTAACCAAATTTGAAAAGAACCTACAAGGACTGCCTTCGAAGTACGATCCAGGAATGAGTTAATGTGAGTTCTGGACAGGCCCAAGTCATTTAGTAGGTAGTAGCCCTAGTAGGGCTGCCTTATAAAACACATATACTCACGATTCTATCAGCCACTATTTCGCTCTCCTGTATCACATACAGGAAGTCTTCCATAGTACGTAGCTCCCTTCTTAATGCGTAGTGCACGAGACGATCTAACGTTACAACCTGCTGACATACATCCACTAGGCATGATAGGTCTTTGTAGATTTGTCTGGAAAATAATACAAAATTCATTACTAACTTTATTCATTACTGTTGTGTTTTTAATCCCCGACGCAAAAACGACAGGGTTATAAGTTTGACGTGTCTATTTGTCTGTCTGTGTATGTGTATATGTCTGTCTGATGTAACGTAGCTCCCAAACGGATGAGCCGATTTTAATGCGGTTTTTTTGTTTGAAAGGTATATCCGTTGAGTGTTCTTAGCTATGTTTTTTAGAAATCGATTCGTCAATCGATTCGCGTTTGTTAGGCGTGATAGGAATATTTCGTCCTATCCAGAATAGAATAAAACTAACTCGTCAGGTACTAAAAAATGCAATCTGTTTTTCTAGATGTTGTTCATTTACGCTACTAATTTGTTGAAACTTCTTTGTTGGAGCAATATAAATGTACAGGATGTTGTACGTTTTACAATCTGAATTCTTAAAATGCTTTATACCTTGTTATATTAAGCCAGTAGAGAATTTACCGAAATTAACATAAAGCCCGCAGCAGACAAATTATGTAATAAGAAGTTTATTTACTTTAAAGAAATTTTACTTTGGAAGTTTTAAGTCCATTGTTTATTTACGCTAAAATAATTTTGTTTGTTTTTCGATAAAATGTATCTAAATTATAAGTAAATTGTTCACAAATTCATAAATATTGTCTTAAAACAAAAACCAATAAGATTTCAACAAAGAAAGATTCAAATTAATTTTATCCATTATTTTATTATTAAGTTTTGTTTGTACAAAGTTAGGTTAGTTTAACCCTATCCATAACATTATGACAAATTCTATTTCAAGTCAGAGAATGTTGTTAAGTATGTTTCTTAAGCCAAATTGAATTTAGATTTAGTTCCTTAGTTCCCAAATTGTCTTATAGTCAAACAGAATATTATATTTATAGGTGGACTTGAAAGCAATACATTGCAATTCGATTTCAAGCCAGATGCTATTATAACTGTCCCCGATCTTTTTGTAGTGACAATTGTTCCTAAATATGTTTTTTCTTACGCTATGACTTCTACTCATTGGAATTGTTAAATATTTCGCCAATATCAACGTTTTTATTTGTTGAACGAATTATAATCTTGAAAACTGTTTGTAGAAGGTGTCTTTCAAACGGAATAAAGGCGTTTATCTAATGATATTTATATTTTTAAAATACTAAATACGAAATCATTTCAATGAAAGTGTGGGAAGTCGTAAAGTTTTTTTTCTTTTCTCTCTTGATAGCTGCCTGCCAAATTCATAATACTGGGTCAACGGGAACATCCCAATAGGTTTTATATCGCTTGCCAGCGTCAAATATGAGAAATAAACGGAGCATAAATTTGACCGCCCCAAAGTAGATCATTCTCCTTGCCGCAGACATTTTTGAATATATGTTATAATAATTAATCATTCATAAGCCTCTAGTAACGATTACGGACACTTATTTCTTACCTAAATTTGTTAAATCAAATCCATTAGTAACATTAAGAACTGAGTTTAAAATTAATACTTCTTGACAGATTAAGATACATAGTTTAATTTCTGTAGCTAATATAAGCTGTGACGTAAAACGCAATTTTTTAAATGTCATTTCCAGTCACATTTCCAGACGTAACGTTTACTTAAAAATTTAATAATGTTTACAAATTAGTTACAAAATAGTATAAGGCAGGTATAAATATTATGATTAAAGTTTTGTTCCACAAATAAAAGAACTGTTTTCATTTAGAACGACGAAGTAGCAAAGATGGGGCATTATTTTTATGAATTAAAATTAGATATGGTCCTTAGTTTAACAAGGATTTCTAATAATGAAATGAGTAACATTTGCAATACTAAAAGGTAAAGTTACATATTTATGCAACTGAAACGAACTCGTCGGGTTTGATATGACACACTAAACTTTGTACAAAACAGCAAAATGAGCGAAAAATACTTGATAACTCATGAAAAGCATCAAAGTATATAAAATTATATGTAGTTTTAAGTAATATCTACTGCTCTCTTATAAAATTTTCATGTTATTTATGAGCAATATTCGCAAAATATATTTATATAGTACATGTAATATTTAATTTAAAATAGCATAAATTTTGATGATTTGTATTCAAGTTCATTTAAGTGAAAAACATTTTTTTATTTAATTTAATAGCGGTTTCAAACAATATTACTTTTTTTGTTAGAGATTTTTAATAAAGAATATTATTTAGAAGTTGACTGAATACTGTCAGGAAAATGAAATTCCTGTTATGACCGAAATGAAATTGTTATTAAGGAATTTGAAATTAACATTTATTTTAATATTTTCAAATAATAATTAATTACATATTTGTATATTTAAATAAGTATTCTGAATTCCATTCTATAATAAAATTCACTTTAAGAGATGGCTATAACTTATAAGCGTATCAGACGTGGAATGTAATAATATTTTTAAAACACTCATATCTTTACAATTTATTGATCTTGTATTTTAATATAAAAAGAATAAAACGCAAATACATACTTTTGGTAACATTATAATTGTTAGGGTTAATTGTTTGTATTTAATTAATATTCATGAGCTTGAGGACATCTTAAGTATCTTAGATAATTGGACGTGATATTATGACCATCTGACGATGTGTCGTAGTAAACAACGTCACCCATATGACCACAACAAATTTGATATCCATAATTGTAACAATATAAAGTTACCTAGGTTTACTGTGGAAGTACCTAGACTACAAAAGTATTTATCTGTTATCACAGAAAACAATGCAGAGCAAACACCGGTATGACCGTATCGGCATGACTTCGGAAGATGAAGCATCAATTCTTGATCCTGCCCCATCTACTGTACGAGACGGGGGACTGGTCCAAGAACGTAACGAACACCAACCAAGAGGGAATATATCACCAGGCAGGTGCAGAGCACGCACCGCCTGGCAGAATGGCTTTATCGGCGCTATCAGCTTTAATGACGGATGAGACGTGAAAATAATTTGAGGCTGTCATCAATTCTTATTAAAACTCATTAGTATTTATGATTATTGTTAAAACTAAAACGAAATCAAATATTGTTTGAAAGGAGAATAGAACTAGGTTTAAATCTTGGTATAAATATGACGTGTTCAGAGTTCAGTGAGTGCGTATCATTGAAGTATGTGATTATGAAGAACCTTCAAGAAATACAGGAATATTAAGAACAATTGAAGTTTCATTTTAAAATATCATGGAGCTTTAGAAGAAGTGACATTTGTAACGTCAGCGAGGCTGGCGTCTCTCTCTTAGAAAACAATGAATTTGTAATAAATCCGATATATACAAATATTTTACTTATAATAAGTTTTAATAATTGCAATTCAACAATTGACTATATCACATCTAATCTGCCCGTGATCACGGTTGCTGTAAAGTAGCCAAAACGTCGGGCATCTAATATCTTTCTTAACATATGTACATATATATTGGACGTTCTAACTCTTGCTAACCGACTTTGTTGTTGTTGTCCGATATGGCCTGGAGATTTTGAGTTACTATATAAGTATGAAACATATAATAACAGCTACAAAGAATCACTATCAGGATCTGGTTGTCCGATATGGCCTGGAGATTTTGAGTTACTATATAAGTATGAAACATATAATAACAGCTACAAAGAATCACTATCAGGATCTGGTTGTCCGATATGGCCTGGAGATTTTGAGTTACTATATAAGTATGAAACATATAATAACAGCTACAAAGAATCACTATCAGGATCTGGTTGTCCGATATGGCCTGGAGATTTTGAGTTACTATATAAGTATGAAACATATAATAACAGCTACAAAGAATCACTATCAGGATCTGGTTGTCCGATATGGCCTGGAGATTTTGAGTTACTATACAAGTATGAAACATATAATAACAGCTACAAAGAATCACTATCAGGATCTGGTTGTCCGATATGGCCTGGAGATTTTGAGTTACTATACAAGTATGAAACATATAATAACAGCTACAAAGAATCACTATCAGGATCTGGTTGTCCGATATGGCCTGGAGATTTTGAGTTACTATATAAGTATGAAACATATAATAACAGCTACAAAGAATCACTATCAGGATCTGGTTGTCCGATATGGCCTGGAGATTTTGAGTTACTATATAAGTATGAAACATATAATAACAGCTACAAAGAATCACTATCAGGATCTGGTTGTCCGATATGGCCTGGAGATTTTGAGTTACTATATAAGTATGAAACATATAATAACAGCTACAAAGAATCACTATCAGGATCTGGTTGTCCGATATGGCCTGGAGATTTTGAGTTACTATATAAGTATGAAACATATAATAACAGCTACAAAGAATCACTATCAGGATCTGGTTGTCCGATATGGCCTGGAGATTTTGAGTTACTATATAAGTATGAAACATATAATAACAGCTACAAAGAATCACTATCAGGATCTGGTTGTCCGATATGGCCTGGAGATTTTGAGTTACTATATAAGTATGAAACATATAATAACAGCTACAAAGAATCACTATCAGGATCTGGTTGTCCGATATGGCCTGGAGATTTTGAGTTACTATATAAGTATGAAACATATAATAACAGCTACAAAGAATCACTATCAGGATCTGGTTGTCCGATATGGCCTGGAGATTTTGAGTTACTATATAAGTATGAAACATATAATAACAGCTACAAAGAATCACTATCAGGATCTGGTTGTCCGATATGGCCTGGAGATTTTGAGTTACTATATAAGTATGAAACATATAATAACAGCTACAAAGAATCACTATCAGGATCTGGTTGTCCGATATGGCCTGGAGATTTTGAGTTACTATATAAGTATGAAACATATAATAACAGCTACAAAGAATCACTATCAGGATCTGGTTGTCCGATATGGCCTGGAGATTTTGAGTTACTATATAAGTATGAAACATATAATAACAGCTACAAAGAATCACTATCAGGATCTGGTTGTCCGATATGGCCTGGAGATTTTGAGTTACTATATAAGTATGAAACATATAATAACAGCTACAAAGAATCACTATCAGGATCTGGTTGTCCGATATGGCCTGGAGATTTTGAGTTACTATATAAGTATGAAACATATAATAACAGCTACAAAGAATCACTATCAGGATCTGGTTGTCCGATATGGCCTGGAGATTTTGAGTTACTATATAAGTATGAAACATATAATAACAGCTACAAAGAATCACTATCAGGATCTGGTTGTCCGATATGGCCTGGAGATTTTGAGTTACTATATAAGTATGAAACATATAATAACAGCTACAAAGAATCACTATCAGGATCTGGTTGTCCGATATGGCCTGGAGATTTTGAGTTACTATATAAGTATGAAACATATAATAACAGCTACAAAGAATCACTATCAGGATCTGGTTGTCCGATATGGCCTGGAGATTTTGAGTTACTATATAAGTATGAAACATATAATAACAGCTACAAAGAATCACTATCAGGATCTGGTTGTCCGATATGGCCTGGAGATTTTGAGTTACTATATAAGTATGAAACATATAATAACAGCTACAAAGAATCACTATCAGGATCTGGTTGTCCGATATGGCCTGGAGATTTTGAGTTACTATATAAGTATGAAACATATAATAACAGCTACAAAGAATCACTATCAGGATCTGGTTGTCCGATATGGCCTGGAGATTTTGAGTTACTATATAAGTATGAAACATATAATAACAGCTACAAAGAATCACTATCAGGATCTGGTTGTCCGATATGGCCTGGAGATTTTGAGTTACTATATAAGTATGAAACATATAATAACAGCTACAAAGAATCACTATCAGGATCTGGTTGTCCGATATGGCCTGGAGATTTTGAGTTACTATATAAGTATGAAACATATAATAACAGCTACAAAGAATCACTATCAGGATCTGGTTGTCCGATATGGCCTGGAGATTTTGAGTTACTATATAAGTATGAAACATATAATAACAGCTACAAAGAATCACTATCAGGATCTGGTTGTCCGATATGGCCTGGAGATTTTGAGTTACTATATAAGTATGAAACATATAATAACAGCTACAAAGAATCACTATCAGGATCTGGTTGTCCGATATGGCCTGGAGATTTTGAGTTACTATATAAGTATGAAACATATAATAACAGCTACAAAGAATCACTATCAGGATCTGGTTGTCCGATATGGCCTGGAGATTTTGAGTTACTATATAAGTATGAAACATATAATAACAGCTACAAAGAATCACTATCAGGATCTGGTTGTCCGATATGGCCTGGAGATTTTGAGTTACTATATAAGTATGAAACATATAATAACAGCTACAAAGAATCACTATCAGGATCTGGTTGTCCGATATGGCCTGGAGATTTTGAGTTACTATATAAGTATGAAACATATAATAACAGCTACAAAGAATCACTATCAGGATCTGGTTGTCCGATATGGCCTGGAGATTTTGAGTTACTATATAAGTATGAAACATATAATAACAGCTACAAAGAATCACTATCAGGATCTGGTTGTCCGATATGGCCTGGAGATTTTGAGTTACTATATAAGTATGAAACATATAATAACAGCTACAAAGAATCACTATCAGGATCTGGTTGTCCGATATGGCCTGGAGATTTTGAGTTACTATATAAGTATGAAACATATAATAACAGCTACAAAGAATCACTATCAGGATCTGGTTGTCCGATATGGCCTGGAGATTTTGAGTTACTATATAAGTATGAAACATATAATAACAGCTACAAAGAATCACTATCAGGATCTGGTTGTCCGATATGGCCTGGAGATTTTGAGTTACTATATAAGTATGAAACATATAATAACAGCTACAAAGAATCACTATCAGGATCTGGTTGTCCGATATGGCCTGGAGATTTTGAGTTACTATATAAGTATGAAACATATAATAACAGCTACAAAGAATCACTATCAGGATCTGGTTGTCCGATATGGCCTGGAGATTTTGAGTTACTATATAAGTATGAAACATATAATAACAGCTACAAAGAATCACTATCAGGATCTGGTTGTCCGATATGGCCTGGAGATTTTGAGTTACTATATAAGTATGAAACATATAATAACAGCTACAAAGAATCACTATCAGGATCTGGTTGTCCGATATGGCCTGGAGATTTTGAGTTACTATATAAGTATGAAACATATAATAACAGCTACAAAGAATCACTATCAGGATCTGGTTGTCCGATATGGCCTGGAGATTTTGAGTTACTATATAAGTATGAAACATATAATAACAGCTACAAAGAATCACTATCAGGATCTGGTTGTCCGATATGGCCTGGAGATTTTGAGTTACTATATAAGTATGAAACATATAATAACAGCTACAAAGAATCACTATCAGGATCTGGTTGTCCGATATGGCCTGGAGATTTTGAGTTACTATATAAGTATGAAACATATAATAACAGCTACAAAGAATCACTATCAGGATCTGCTTGTCCGATATGGCCTGGAGATTTTGAGTTACTATATAAGTATGAAACATATAATAACAGCTACAAAGAATCACTATCAGGATCTGGTTGTCCGATATGGCCTGGAGATTTTGAGTTACTATATAAGTATGAAACATATAATAACAGCTACAAAGAATCACTATCAGGATCTGGTTGTCCGATATGGCCTGGAGATTTTGAGTTACTATATAAGTATGAAACATATAATAACAGCTACAAAGAATCACTATCAGGATCTGGTTGTCCGATATGGCCTGGAGATTTTGAGTTACTATATAAGTATGAAACATATAATAACAGCTACAAAGAATCACTATCAGGATCTGGTTGTCCGATATGGCCTGGAGATTTTGAGTTACTATATAAGTATGAAACATATAATAACAGCTACAAAGAATCACTATCAGGATCTGGTTGTCCGATATGGCCTGGAGATTTTGAGTTACTATATAAGTATGAAACATATAATAACAGCTACAAAGAATCACTATCAGGATCTGGTTGTCCGATATGGCCTGGAGATTTTGAGTTACTATATAAGTATGAAACATATAATAACAGCTACAAAGAATCACTATCAGGATCTGGTTGTCCGATATGGCCTGGAGATTTTGAGTTACTATATAAGTATGAAACATATAATAACAGCTACAAAGAATCACTATCAGGATCTGGTTGTCCGATATGGCCTGGAGATTTTGAGTTACTATATAAGTATGAAACATATAATAACAGCTACAAAGAATCACTATCAGGATCTGGTTGTCCGATATGGCCTGGAGATTTTGAGTTACTATATAAGTATGAAACATATAATAACAGCTACAAAGAATCACTATCAGGATCTGGTTGTCCGATATGGCCTGGAGATTTTGAGTTACTATATAAGTATGAAACATATAATAACAGCTACAAAGAATCACTATCAGGATCTGGTTGTCCGATATGGCCTGGAGATTTTGAGTTACTATATAAGTATGAAACATATAATAACAGCTACAAAGAATCACTATCAGGATCTGGTTGTCCGATATGGCCTGGAGATTTTGAGTTACTATATAAGTATGAAACATATAATAACAGCTACAAAGAATCACTATCAGGATCTGGTTGTCCGATATGGCCTGGAGATTTTGAGTTACTATATAAGTATGAAACATATAATAACAGCTACAAAGAATCACTATCAGGATCTGGTTGTCCGATATGGCCTGGAGATTTTGAGTTACTATATAAGTATGAAACATATAATAACAGCTACAAAGAATCACTATCAGGATCTGGTTGTCCGATATGGCCTGGAGATTTTGAGTTACTATATAAGTATGAAACATATAATAACAGCTACAAAGAATCACTATCAGGATCTGGTTGTCCGATATGGCCTGGAGATTTTGAGTTACTATATAAGTATGAAACATATAATAACAGCTACAAAGAATCACTATCAGGATCTGGTTGTCCGATATGGCCTGGAGATTTTGAGTTACTATATAAGTATGAAACATATAATAACAGCTACAAAGAATCACTATCAGGATCTGGTTGTCCGATATGGCCTGGAGATTTTGAGTTACTATATAAGTATGAAACATATAATAACAGCTACAAAGAATCACTATCAGGATCTGGTTGTCCGATATGGCCTGGAGATTTTGAGTTACTATATAAGTATGAAACATATAATAACAGCTACAAAGAATCACTATCAGGATCTGGTTGTCCGATATGGCCTGGAGATTTTGAGTTACTATATAAGTATGAAACATATAATAACAGCTACAAAGAATCACTATCAGGATCTGGTTGTCCGATATGGCCTGGAGATTTTGAGTTACTATATAAGTATGAAACATATAATAACAGCTACAAAGAATCACTATCAGGATCTGGTTGTCCGATATGGCCTGGAGATTTTGAGTTACTATATAAGTATGAAACATATAATAACAGCTACAAAGAATCACTATCAGGATCTGGTTGTCCGATATGGCCTGGAGATTTTGAGTTACTATATAAGTATGAAACATATAATAACAGCTACAAAGAATCACTATCAGGATCTGGTTGTCCGATATGGCCTGGAGATTTTGAGTTACTATATAAGTATGAAACATATAATAACAGCTACAAAGAATCACTATCAGGATCTGGTTGTCCGATATGGCCTGGAGATTTTGAGTTACTATATAAGTATGAAACATATAATAACAGCTACAAAGAATCACTATCAGGATCTGGTTGTCCGATATGGCCTGGAGATTTTGAGTTACTATATAAGTATGAAACATATAATAACAGCTACAAAGAATCACTATCAGGATCTGGTTGTCCGATATGGCCTGGAGATTTTGAGTTACTATATAAGTATGAAACATATAATAACAGCTACAAAGAATCACTATCAGGATCTGGTTGTCCGATATGGCCTGGAGATTTTGAGTTACTATATAAGTATGAAACATATAATAACAGCTACAAAGAATCACTATCAGGATCTGGTTGTCCGATATGGCCTGGAGATTTTGAGTTACTATATAAGTATGAAACATATAATAACAGCTACAAAGAATCACTATCAGGATCTGGTTGTCCGATATGGCCTGGAGATTTTGAGTTACTATATAAGTATGAAACATATAATAACAGCTACAAAGAATCACTATCAGGATCTGGTTGTCCGATATGGCCTGGAGATTTTGAGTTACTATATAAGTATGAAACATATAATAACAGCTACAAAGAATCACTATCAGGATCTGGTTGTCCGATATGGCCTGGAGATTTTGAGTTACTATATAAGTATGAAACATATAATAACAGCTACAAAGAATCACTATCAGGATCTGGTTGTCCGATATGGCCTGGAGATTTTGAGTTACTATATAAGTATGAAACATATAATAACAGCTACAAAGAATCACTATCAGGATCTGGTTGTCCGATATGGCCTGGAGATTTTGAGTTACTATATAAGTATGAAACATATAATAACAGCTACAAAGAATCACTATCAGGATCTGGTTGTCCGATATGGCCTGGAGATTTTGAGTTACTATATAAGTATGAAACATATAATAACAGCTACAAAGAATCACTATCAGGATCTGGTTGTCCGATATGGCCTGGAGATTTTGAGTTACTATATAAGTATGAAACATATAATAACAGCTACAAAGAATCACTATCAGGATCTGGTTGTCCGATATGGCCTGGAGATTTTGAGTTACTATATAAGTATGAAACATATAATAACAGCTACAAAGAATCACTATCAGGATCTGGTTGTCCGATATGGCCTGGAGATTTTGAGTTACTATATAAGTATGAAACATATAATAACAGCTACAAAGAATCACTATCAGGATCTGGTTGTCCGATATGGCCTGGAGATTTTGAGTTACTATATAAGTATGAAACATATAATAACAGCTACAAAGAATCACTATCAGGATCTGGTTGTCCGATATGGCCTGGAGATTTTGAGTTACTATATAAGTATGAAACATATAATAACAGCTACAAAGAATCACTATCAGGATCTGGTTGTCCGATATGGCCTGGAGATTTTGAGTTACTATATAAGTATGAAACATATAATAACAGCTACAAAGAATCACTATCAGGATCTGGTTGTCCGATATGGCCTGGAGATTTTGAGTTACTATACAAGTATGAAACATATAATAACAGCTACAAAGAATCACTATCAGGATCTGGTTGTCCGATATGGCCTGGAGATTTTGAGTTACTATACAAGTATGAAACATATAATAACAGCTACAAAGAATCACTATCAGGATCTGGTTGTCCGATATGGCCTGGAGATTTTGAGTTACTATATAAGTATGAAACATATAATAACAGCTACAAAGAATCACTATCAGGATCTGGTTGTCCGATATGGCCTGGAGATTTTGAGTTACTATACAGGGTGACTGGTGAATTACTATCAATATTTAAGGAGAATACTCGGTACATGATTCTCATTCGAATTATGTAAAAAAATAGGCACTTAATTTTTGACAAAATTTCCGTATAAATAAATAAAGTGTTGACACGTTCCAAGTGTTCCAAGTGTGGAGGCGTGCGGCGGCGTGCTGATACAACACTACGCCGCCAAACGCGTATGTGTATACCTAATCTGTAGGGTGTTCACACGATGCGTAATTAATTACATAACTTTTGGTTAACTTTACTTAGAAGTTTATTAATATTTATGTTATATTAATTTTTATTTTGTCTTATATGATCGTCAAATATCACGTCCTCAAATATCGATAGTAATTCACCAGTCACCCTGTATATGTACATACATAGATTGTTCCTCATTTCTCTGAATTTTAGTTTTAGCTCTTAATAAATGCCCTGCGATAGAAAATAATTTCCATATGACAATCTTTCTTAAAGTAGCCCAAATGTGTGCAAGTTAAAAAAATCAATCTAAATGCTGAACAATTTCTTTTGCATTGAACTTGACGACAACTTTTGTAATATTATCCCTGCTTCGTAAAGGTCACTAATAGTTCCATACTATGATTTAAGAAAGAAGACACCAGGTTTAGAATATTATATAAATACAGACAAATCAAATGTTTTTCATAAACCTTAGCATTAAGTGTCATAAAAATATAAATATGCATACACGTATTAATACATATTTGGTTGGCAACTAGAATATTATCCGGGACCTTATTGTAAATAGTTTTATATGGTAAATTTCATATTCGGTCTGAAATTTGAAAACTGAAATAGTTTAAATATATTGCAATAGCTAAATATGTAGCAAGAATTCCACAGAGGTATATTTCCTTTATTTATATTACACAAAATTACTTAATATTATACAGAGTGGTTAACTAGAGCTGTAACGTTCATACAAATGCAATTTAACTATACCGTGTTTTTAAAACAGCTTATAGAATCTTACTTATACAATAATGAAAATAAAGGCATCCTTTTATTTTCCTAATATCTTTCTTAACATATGTACATATATATTGGACGTTCTAACTCTTGCTAACCGACTTTATGACAAATTAACAATATTAGTCAATTTCAAATAAATTGGTTCTGCTTTCAATTTTACATGTGACTAAAAACATATTAAAAAATATTCGATATTTAAGATCACATTTTACAATAATTATTGTAATGTGTAGCAAAAATAATGATGATATTCACTTACTTTTCGGCAGCATTATCTGTATCTCCCATTTGTTTATCGTCATCGTCATCATCATTTTCTTCATCTGATTGTTCTGGAATTTAAAAGGACATTTATTTAATTTACAACCCTATTTTATATGTTTAAACCTTAATTTTATATGACTATATTATTAACCTTTCTGTTCGACGTCTTGTGAATCAAAGTCGTCAGTCATATTGACTCCTTCTCTTCTTCCTTGCAATCTTTATCTTGTTCGTTCTTTTCTTCACCCGGTTTATGCGCGTCGTCCAATTGATCCTTTGAAAACAAAAACAATTTTTTTTTGTGTGTAATAAATTTGGTCTACAGCGCTAAAGTCAATGATCTTTCGTTTCGGGAATATAATTCTATCTATCCCTTTCCCACACCTGGTTTTCTTCGCGTTCAGAGACATCTTTCTGTCCCTCTCCCTCACCAAGTCCCATACCGCTGTCTCCAGTAGTGCCTTCTCCCTCACCCTCCTCTGAATCTAGTTCTGAGTGTTGGCAGAAACTGTAAGGAAATAAAGGAAGTTTCAATTTATTACTTGACTAAAACATTCTTAAAAAATAACTTATTTAAGGATAATCGTAAGTACAATATGAATTAAAAAGCTTCTGTGGAACAACTTATTGAAATTATCTAATTTGTGGCAATTAATGAAAGTTTTTATAATATTTTATTAATTTTCTGTACTTTAGATATTTATAAAGTTTTATATTTAAATGCAACCCCAACTTATTCATTTTAACATTGTGGTATATTTAATCTAAATTATATCGATATAATTACCCTTTCGATGCCAGATCCAATAAAATCTTCAAAAGCACTAACAGCATCTTACAGGATACTCTATGCACAGCAACTTTTTGGGATACAAAATATTGGACAAATAGTATAACTTGCTCCAATATCGGGACCAATCTCATAACAACAGTTCTAGCTTCTTCCACATCAGACCGAGTCGCAATATATTGCACATAGTTAATCAAAAGTTCGCGCAATTTCTTGAATCAGTCGACATGTTCTCTTGGAGTAATTCTTTTAAATGATTATCTTCTAAAATGTCTTTGGTTTCAACTTTTTCACCTTCATGTATAATTTCATCAATAGCGTTTATAACGTCCATATTCTCCGCTTGTTTCTCTGGCGGCAGATGTTTTTTGTACAACGATTGTATCACGAGTAACATCGTAGCCACAACATCTTCAGTCTGCTCTAACATTGTGCCGTCAGTTTCATCCATTTCTTGGTCTCTGTTCATCCAATTTATCAAGTTCTGTTTTTATATCTTGAATGTAAGCCTCCATATTTTCAAGGCTTCTTAGTATTGGATGATGCGGTGTGAAGTCTTCTATGACCGTCGTTTTGAAAACAAACTCATATTCGGTAATAATTTCCTCACTTTTTTCTATTATAACGTCCAAATTATTCTTAACTTCTATATGACTTTGAGAAACTAGAGGTAACTTAATGGATTCTTCGATTTGTTTTAGGTTTCGAGATAATTTGTTTAACAGTTGGCTTTTGTTTTTCAACTAGAGATATAATTGACTTAATTTTTTTATTAAGAGACTTCCATTCATCGCTATCCTTGAAACAATCAGCCAAAGGTGAGTTTGATAGCACTTTGTCCAAATCTGGCTCAGAATCAGTATTCAAATGTTTTTCCGGAACAGACTTCAGAACGACATTGAATTGTTCTAGAAGAATGCTAGTATGAGCGTAGCATTCCACTAACACATTGAGTATTTCTTCAAGCGAAGTTATATTACATCCTGTAGAGTCTATTTCTAACGCGTTTGTAAGACTTGTAGCTACGGTTCGTAAATCGAAATGTTTCGTATAACGCGAAATCGACTTCTTCTGAGTTTTAGCATATTTCTGGAAATAAAATGTATATACTTAAAATTTTAGCACAAATTATTATATAACACTATTTATAATGTCATGGAATATCAATATAATTCGGATTTAATTTCTATTTCTATTATATCATATAACTGTTACACTTTTAACAATACACTTATAGCAAAAAGAAATATAAATATATACTTTACAAATAACAAAATATTGGTGATCACAAAACAAAATATTTGTTATCACACAAAAAAAACATGGACAACTTCGAATGCTTTTGTTGTATAGTTGTAAATACCTGCTTTTCAAATAGGTCATAACGGCATCCCAATCGACGGGTAGTATTGTGTAATCATACATGTATAACGAGACCCGTGCGATAATTCAAGTCGATTTTGTTCAAATATTTGAACAGATCCGATAGAGCTTTACGCTTCTGCTGCGTTATGTTTTTGGCTTGAGATTTTTGTTTGTCCTTCGGCAATGTTGAATCCACCTACAATATAGAGTATTATTATTAAAATGTTTTGTATTTGTTACAATCTTAGCAGTAAACAATTATCGACAGCCGTTTGCATTGACTACAGTATGTTCACTTTATTATTTATGAAGACATCTTTTTCGGATATAAGTCTAATTTTTAGAAATTGTCTAAAAGAAATAGAAATGACAATTCACATTTATACAGGGTGACTGGTGAATTACTATCGATACTTGAGGACGTGATATTTGACGATCATATATGACAAAATAAATATTAATATAACATAAATATTAATGAACTTCTAAGTAAAGTTAACCAAAAGTTGTGTAATTAATTACGCATCGTGTGAACACCCTACAGATTAGGTATACACACACACAAACACACACGCTGCGGCGGCGTGGTGTTGTGTCAGCACGCCGCCGCACGCGTCCACACTTGGAACACTTGGAACGTGTCCACACTTTATTTATTTATACGGAAATTTGGTCAAAAATTAAGTACCTATTTTTTTTACATAATTCGAATGAGAATCATGTACCAAGTATTCTCCTTAAATATTGATAGTAATTCACCAGTCACCCTGTATAAGAACCAATATAGAAATTGAAACAATTTTACGTGTATAAAATAAATATTCGTTATAGAATTTAAAAAAAGAATTACCTCCAAAGATCCTAAATGTTCACTTGTCTCTATAACCAAGGCTACAAAGTCGTCCAAGCATGTAGTAGCGCGGGGTAGCCCGTGTTAGCGATGCTGTCCTTACAAAATGTTCGAGCTTTGTTCAGCAGACTCGGAATCTTTGCCAGGAGACTGTTCACTTGTATTAATTGACAAGGCTGTTCGAGCTGGTATTCGTATTTCTGTAAAAGGGAATTCAATTATTAAAACATTATTGCGTAATGCGTATGTTGCATATTTATAACTGTAACTAATGTTTTTTTTTAAAGACAGAAAGAATGCAATTGTTGCTAGCTACCTTTACAGCAAATAAAACAGAAGACAGGCGAAATCATTCATAACCACCAAACCTTTTATCATTATTATATTTTAAGTGTAATAAAAATGACGTGTTTATATACCTTAATGTTCTGTTCAGTACTACATGGTTCTGAAGATCTATCATATACGCTCCGCCCGCGGCGTTGCTTGCAGTGCCAGCCCTCTTTGGTCTATCCCAAATACCCACGTGGTCGATAGACTCACTCGCCGTGTCCACGAGACAACTCCATACACTGTCCTTTAGAACTTTCTGTAGACAATTTTCAAAGTAGGATATTTACTCACACTTCACAAACACATCAATTACATAAGATAATATAAGATGATAAAGTACACAATAATGGTTTATATTACAAACATTGACCTAGAAATTATCGAAGAAATTTATAAATAAAAAACATGGAGTCCCTCCGTACGGAAGAAGTGAAAAATAAAAAGTGGTATAAATATCAATTTATAGTGAACTCATATTGTTTCTTTAAGACAAACTTAATAAATATTGCTCACAATTCACAATTGATCCATTCATTTACTATCGCTCCGTCTCTTTCTATTCCTCCTCCCCAGGAGCGTTGAACGTTTAAGGCAACCTTGTTGGAAGTAGCATTAGACTCTTCACTACAATAAATATGTATATCAATATGGCTAACCTCAAACTCCTTGGTGTGTTTGTGTAAAGCTTTATGAGCCTTGTCTACTGCGTCCTTCACACTCCAGTAACTGAGGTCTCTGTCCCAGGTGCAGATTTTGACCAAGTCTGAAGGACTTCTTTTCTATGGGCGCACGCTTTTCTTTAATATGTGAAGCCACTTGTTGAGCGAATTGACGATAGTAATTGCATGTATTCCACAACAATGATAGGAGTTCAACTAAAACAGAACATATATAGATAGAAGTAAATTATTGGATATTGCAGAAGACCCACAGTAGTTGCAGTATAAGATATAGATTAATAAATTGAACCTGACTAAACTTTTAGGAAATTAGGGTGATAAAAATACGTATGTTTTTTTTATGTAAAAGGTGGCAAACGAGCAGACGGCCCACTTGATGGTCAGTAGTGAACGTGGCCCATGGACATCCACAACATAGACGTTGCGGATGCGTTGCCAACCTTACTTGTGGAGTTTTCCTCCACAAGTAAGGTTGGCAACACATCCTGGGAGGGGTGGGAATAAGGAAATATAAGGAAAGGTTGGGAACAGGGAAAGGGCAACCGGCTTTCTCACTCATCGGACAAAAAGCAGTCATTATTGACTACTTCACGCCGATCTTCTGTGAGAGGGTGGTACTTCCCCGGTCGAGCCAGCCCATATTTGAGCTGTAGTAACTAAACTACAGCTAGGCTCTACCACCTATAAATGTATGTCGTCCAAAAAATTTAAAAAGAGAATAAATTATCTATCTACGAAAAAGATATCAAGTGTAGTTATTTTCGTTGAAATCTAATAAATAAATAACTTACTATAAACTATTCACTATAATTATTATTTCTAAAGCTCTTTGTAACATATACATATTACTTAACCAATGAATCTCACCGCGTCTTTGACCGGCGTCCAGATGTATTAAGTGGCAGTGATACTCATAAACAATGTCCAATCTCACATCGAACTTCGCTAGATTGGACTTTTCCATGAAATCTTTCAACACGGACACGACCCGCGCCGATGACATATCAGTCTCCTCCAAGTAAGATGTTATCACCGCATACATATAGAACCAGTATTTACGAGCTTCGGCCTGTTGTCTGAAATGTTAATTAAGTATTATCCAAAACAGTTAAACTTTTAATACCTACTAAAAGTTATTGTTCAATAGAATAGTTTTATGACTATTTTATTCGTAAGTAGACGAGTTGTAGTAAGAAAAAACATTATTATAGAGAAAGATTAATACTGGAATAATATTATATACTAAGATTATTTTGTAATGAGATAAGTAGTTCTTACTTCATAATATGCTAAAAGCCATTCAAATGTTGGAT